TTTTTTTTTTCTCTCTTGCCAGGTTTCTATTGAAAGCTACTAAGTAAATTTCCATCCCCAAGTTACCCAATAAAGTTTTATCTTTCCTGTTATGGCCAGTTATCACTATATTTACATCAATTATAAAGAGTTATAATAAATCTAGGTTGAGATCCAAATAAATAACTTGGCTCATATATTTCTAGGACTTGCAGACTACACTGCTGAAAACATGTAGATGTTATGCATCTTTAGTGACAATCATATATCGTGAAGTAGGTTGCAAATTTATGTGCTTCCAAAGGTCTATTATACATTTCTTTCACAAATTCAAGCTTTATTATAAGTGACTGTTTATAATAAAATTTTTATTTCAATTTTTAAAAAAAATTATTTTTGCCAGATAATATTTGTGTAAATATCTTATTGAAATGTGTGAATTTGAAGTGTTTGAACTCTCCATCTCCCTCTTCTTAAATGAATAATTCATCACATTACTGTACCTCAAAAATAGTTCGTGTTACATACAAATTCCATACACTTAAGAAATACTGATTATTTGGAATATACAAAATTGTTAATCTGTTTACACTGTCATTTTCCTAATGTTCATCAATGATACTTTGAAACTAAACATAGAATTTGTAACTTTAAATAAATATTATTTCTTTTGCAAAGGTTTCCAAGAATCTTATTAGTTTAAATGTTCAGTTATATATGTATTGTCACATTTTAAATTAATGATGTTTAATAAAGTGATTGGAAAATATATTAAAGTTTAAATTGAATTTTATTTGAAATTACGGTTATTTGCTTTTAGTAAAATTTCATGTAAAAAACCCTAAGAGTGAGATAAATGTCCCTCCTACATATGACTTCCTTAAAAAGTATTGTTTATTTAATAGTTAAATGATAAAATGTTCCTGATATTATTTTTTTCAAATACTTTTACTGTGATTATAAATGAAACTATATCAATTTTATACTTTCCTAATATGCTTCTTTATTTTCTGATATGCTTCTTAATTGAAGAAAAAGAAATGTTTATCTTCATAGTTGTTGCAAATCAAGCTTTTATGAAGCAGCATCTGTAAAACTGCTGTGTATTTTGAGAAAGAAAAGTATCAAGTGAGGGTATTTGCTTTTAAGTGTAGACTTGAGTAGGATGTCTTAGTGATTTATATATAATTAAAGCTGTATGATGTAAAAGCATTGTGTTCACCATTAGCTTGAACTGCTGTGAAGTCATCTTTAATTTTTTTCCCCCTTGTTATACAGCTGTCTTTTAAAATTGGTACTTTTAGCCATAGAGATTCCATTAATTTGTGGAGTTTGGAATTTTTTTGGTAGTGTATCTGTTGAGTGTCTTAATACTAATTTTTTCTGGTATCGTTTGGTGTGCAGTTGGGCGAGGATATTAAGGCATAGAAGCACATAGAAATAAAGAAAACCCAACCTGAGAAAACAGGGTCATGTACTTTTTAGTGTAGTTTAGTATGATTGTACTTTTTAATACAGTTTCAACGTAATTTAGACTATTGTAGAATCAGTAATTTCAACAATACTTATTTCAGATTCTTTTCCCAATTTACCCAATAAAGCTGTTGCTTAAATTATTTTTAAAATATTTGTTAAATCAGATTCCCTTCTTTTACCATACTTCTTCAGTTCATCAACATTGACTTTTTAGCAAATACTTTATTGCTCTCATAAGACAAAATTGCCCTTATTAGGAGAGCAAATTTATTTTTCCTTGATTTAAATAATTATAGATAAATTATGAAAAATAGAATGTATAGTAATAGCCACTCAAACATGATTTTGTTTGGGCCGACCTTTCTAGGTAGTGTTTTAACAAATAAGTAATAACAAGAGATTTTCAGGTCAAATTTAATGGTAATTATTTGTCATTGCTTTTAAGGGAATAGCTAAACTTTGCAATAAAAATACTTGCATTGTTTTATTTGTGATAGTGTCCAAAAGAGAGTTGAAATACAGTTTCTGTAAGAATTGAAAGTCCAGGAATAAATATAATGATGAGAATGAACATGTCTATCACTGGGGAACTTTCTTCATCTAAGCACATATGAACAATTGATCCTTGTAGTCATATATAGCAGTAAACATTAATAACTTAACAGTCTGAATTCAGTGCAGAAGATATGGAGCATTATTGAAAGATGGAGTCGAGCAGGTGGCACTTTAATATGTTCAGTGTCATGGTTGACTCTAAAGACTAGTCGAATGAAATTACTTGAGGTTCTAAAGATTTAAAAAGCGAACTCATTTTGCTGCACTAAGGAAATGCTACTGATGAGGCTTTCTGTGTCCCTTTTTTCTAGGCTAGAAAATATTAACCCTGAAGAAAATGACATGGTAAGCCATTCTCTGAGGAGATTTCTTGATGTCAGTCTTATATCTTAGAGGCTTAAGTTCAATTGAGTGGGTTTCAAGAACTAAGATGTGGGAAAAAGAAGAATTGACACACTAATAATGTACATCTTTGCTGCAGTATGAAAATTCAATAACTTCACTCAGTCAATTTACAATTCACATGTGCCTATTAATTAAAACCCTATATTAAATAAAATATATTAAAACTTCATGTCTGACTAACATATAATGGTGTTGGTAGACATTACAGGAATTACTGAACAGAATAAACAATGCAGACACAGGGATAACTATTGAGAAGAATGGAGCTATAATTGTGGATAGAATCTACAAGGCCCAGGAATGTAAAAAGAGAATAACTGCAGAAGAAATGAATGCAGTGTTGGAAGAACGTGATGCTGCTTTGTCTCAGGTAACTGCATGTCTCTGTAAAAGCATATGTTTAGACCACTCCCACTCTTAAAAAAAAATTACTATTCCTCCTATGTGCTTAATTCACATTACTCCTTAATATTAGATAATTAGTATCACAATGGTTAGACATATTAAAATTAATTTACATTTTGGTGCACTATTCTTCGAATAAATACATTCTTATTTCTTCACGTAACTGTTAAATTGTTCCAAAAAAACTGTTTAGTTTTAAAAATAATCACTTGTATATAAAATATCTTACTAAAATCTCTTTTGTGGGCTGAGATTTTGTATTTAATATGGTTTTATTCTCAGTTATCAAATTTCTTTAAACATTGATAAAGGAATCAGATTTTATTAGTATATTATTTTCTGAATGATCTTCTTCCTGCTCTAACTAAAACTCCCTGAGCTAACAGTTTGTACTATAGTCCTTTCAAGTAGTGGCTATATTCTTTATCACATCAATTATACCACTGGTCTAGAGACATGTTTCTCATTTGTTCTTTTAGACTAGCAGGTTATTTTCCTTTCCTAAATACCCATAACTTTGAGGCTCTTATATTAGGTTATACCACAAGTAACCTTTCCTGTGATAGTTATTGATAAACTACCATATCATTCCCCCACACTCTAAGGCTCTTAGCCTCTATTTCACTGTCTTTCTTCACTCTACTTCTGTCATGCATATTCGTAATTTAAAATGTTTCTATTATTTAAAAAAATATTCTGGGCTCTCATTTCCTTGCATTTCTCTTCTCAGGTGTCTGCTCCCCATCCCGTCAAATGTGCATTTCATGGCCATATCCTATTCTTTGTCATTATCAGTCAGTGTCAAGTATCCCACTTTCTGACACCACCTACTGTCTTTTCAGCTCATTCTCTCTAGAATCCTAACTCCAGCGATTTTTCAGCTCCATTGATACATTATAATATTTTTTTACTTGTTACTTTTTTTTCACTATTTATCAAGCCTTTTTTTTCTCAGCTTTGCTTAGATACCATGGCCCCTTATTATCACCAATTTGTGTGTACTTTTACCTTAGTTCTCTTGCTCTGTCTTCCTTTTCTCTACTCACCAGCAAAACCCAAGGTTGTTAAAGTCAACTCTCTTCCTTATCTTCGTGATCACAGCTTGGGTAGGGAAGCACTCAGTGCCTTATAAAGTTGATTTATGTTCATAACTGCTACTTTGAAGCAGGCCCTTATGTTTCCTGACAGGCTTGTTGCTTGTGGTTAGTCTTTTGACTCTTTCTTTTAGAATACTATTTCATCCTTTTTCAGATTTCCTCAGATATTCTAGAAAGCAGAGAAGTTCTCTATGTCTCTCTGTCTGCCTACCTACCTACATTTGTCTCTGCATGTAATGCTTCTATTTAAGAATACTCTCACTACTTCCACAGTGGGTCATATCTACTTCCACAGTGGGTCATATCTTTTTTTTTTTTTTGCATTGGGGGCAGTCAAACCCTTTTATATCTGCTCAGCTTATCATATGACCATTTGTCCCTTTCTCTCCTATTGCATGAAATAATTTCATATTCATTTCTGTCACCATCCAAAATACATTACTTTCTCATGAAAGCTGAATGAGAAATACTATTTTGTTTCAACCTGTACTTTGAGTGATGCCTTTGGGCAATTAGCTAAGGGTTAAGCGTTCACTAGGGTTGCTGTTCCTGGTAAATCCTGTATCTTATCCTTTGTCCCTTAAGTGTAAAACTGCAAAGCTCTCAATTATTCTTTCTCATATGCTTGGGACTTACGTGTTTTTTTATTATTTTCCATATAACACAGCTTCAGAATTTAGAAAATTATTTGAGGGGGTAATCCATCTTCCATCTCCAATTTTGTCATTTCAGCCCTGTGTCACTGTAAAAAAACTTGGCTGGTTTGTCTGTGGTGCCTAGAATCTGCAGAAATCTGGTGTGGAGGTATGGGGGTGGGGAAATGATTACACATCTCTCCAGTTAACCCCGCCTCAGCTTTTAGGCACTCAAGCCTTTGTTACAGCAGCGATCCTCTCCTGCCTGTAAACAGATGATTTTTTTATGTAGTCTGGCTTTTCTTTTGGGTGGCTGGAGCATTGACAGGCCACACATGGTTCTGTCCCACTTGAAGTGGAAGTTTGCCATCTTTAGTGTAGAACTAGAAAAGATCCCTAGAGTTTTAAAATAGACAAATTATTTTTCCTACATTGTGCTTTATGAATAAGATTCAAGCTTAGATTATTCATTAGATTATGAAAGAAAAAATTAAGCTCCTTTGTGTCTGTACTTGGAAACAAATATTATAGCATAAACTCAAATATTTGATATTTTTTATCATTTATAGTCTTAAAAAAAGGAACATTGGAAAATAATTAAATATTGACTACCACTTCTTCGCTTTCTTTTACTCATTGCCTTTTGTTGTATAAAACAGTAAATAAATAAAATTATTCAATATTTGGTTTTGTTTGTCATCGTGTTCTTATCTGTATGTTGACATATCACCACTACAATGTATTTAGGGAGCTCTGGTAGCACAATAGTAAAGAGATGCACTGCCAGCCCAAAGGCATGCATTTCAACTCCACCAGTGGCTCCATGGAAGAAAGATGGGCCATCTCCTGTGCAGTTTACTGATGAAACCACAGTGAAACCAGCTAGAGAGCAAGTTATGAGTTAGATCTGACTGAACACTGTGTACTTACTTATGGTTATTTATTATGTAGGAATAGTTGTTGTCGTTAGGTGCCGTGGAGTTGAATACAACTTCTAGCAGTTCTACGAACAACTGATCTGAACACTGTCCTCTTCTGTGCTATCCTTACAGTCATTGCCGGAGTCAGTGTGTCAGCTGACCTGGTCAAGGCTCTTTCTCTCATTCACTACCCCTCTACCTTTCCAAGCATAATGTCCTTCTCTACAGAATAAGCTCTCCTAGCAATATGCCCAAAGTATGTGAGAAGCCTCATTATCCTTGTATCCAAAGAGCACTCTGACTCCACCTTCTCAAAGACATCTGTTTCTTCTTTTGGCAGTCTATGGGATCTTCAGTACTCTTCTCCAGCATCACAGTTCAAAGTCATCAATTATTCTTCTGTTATCCTTATTCATTGTCCAGCTTTTAATACAAAGCAAGTGACTAGAAAAGCCTATGGCCTGAATCACAGGCACCTTAGTCCCCAGACTGACATCATTACTCCTCACTCGTTTGAAGAGGTCCCTGACTACAGGCATTCACAGGCCAATGTCTCCTGTTCTCCTAACTGCTGGTCTCAAGTGTATTGATTGTGAATCCAAGTAAGATGAAGTTTTTGACATTCTCAATCCTTTCTCCTTCTTCCAAGATGTTGCTTATTAGCCCAGTGGTAAAGATTTTATTTGTTGATACTGAGATGCAATTCATATTGAAGGCTGGAATTTATAACCTTCTGCAGCAAGGGATTTAAAAACTCCTCACTTTGAGCAAAGAAGATTGTGTCATCTACTTACCAAAGGTTATTGATAAGTCTTCTCCAATCCTGATGCCATTGTTCTTCATGGAATCCAGCTTCTCAAACAATTTGCTGAGCATATCGATTAAATAGGTAAGGAGAAAGGATACAACCCTGACACACACCTTTTCTAATTTTGAATCATGCTGTGTTGTCTTTTTTTTTAATTGCAATTCTGAAAGTTTATTTGGGTAAAAGTTTAAAAAACATAGGGAGCACAAAAATTGGATGTAAGGAATGCACAATATCACTGGACAAAAATAATTGTTTAATGCTCAACTATTTCAGGAGGCAGCATGTGATTAAGAGCCAAGGGCAATGAAGAAAGAAATTAAGTTGCACTGGGGGCATGGGCAAATGCTTGTGCTGGATGTGTTGACATACCTGTGCTGAGAAATGTCAAAGACCTCTACTTGACTAACCAACTGGAAGAGGTGCATGTTTGTGCCCATTCCAAAGAAAGGTGATCCAATAGAAAATGGAAACTGAAACAATGTCATTGATACAATAAGGAAGTAAAATTTTGTTGAAGATAATTTAAAAAAATGGTTGTAGCAGTATAATAACAGGAAAGTACAAGAAATACAAGCTGGCTTCAGAACAGGACACGAATGAGGGATATCACTGTGACTGTCAGATGAGTCATAGCTGAAAGCTGAAGAAAAACAGATGTTTTACCTGTTTTTGGTTGGTTGGTTTGGGATTTTTTTCCATACAAAGATACCCAACTATGTGGATCAAAACATATTATGGATGAAATTACAAAGAACAGTAATTCCAGAACACTTGAGTTTATGTTCATGTATGCAACCAAAACACCAAACTTTGAACAGATCAACTGGATATTGCATTGAGACCAAGAAAGTGTGTATCATGTTTGTATATTTTTTCACCATATTCCAGGGATATTATTGCTGATGTTAGATGGATACTGGCTAAATCAGAGAATACCAAAGATTGCCTATTTGTGTTTTATTGACTATGCACAGACATCTGACTGTGTGGATCATAACAAAACATGGCCAACAATGAGAAGACTGGAAATCCCAGAACACCCAACTATGCCCATTTGGAATCTATAACTAAGCCAAGAAGCTTTGTCCAAACTGAGTAAGAGAACACCGTGTAGTGTTCTCTTGCTCTGCACACCAGTTTCATGGTCGAGGTAAGTTTTGCACTAGCACAAGAAAGTATTCTGGAATTCCCATTCATCTCAATGTTGATCATCATTTGTTATTCACACAAATGCCTTAGCTTAGTTAATAAAGCATAAATAGACATTCTTTGGGGGGGTTTTTGGGCTTTTTTTTGTTTGTTTGTTTTTTTACATCAGCTGTGCTATCCCTGATGTCTCAGCCTCTTCTAAATCCAGCTTGAATTTTTGGTAGTTCTCTGGCTGTACTATTCTAGCCATTGTTGTATGCTCCTCAGCAATTTTTTTCTTACATGTGATATTGTCCAATTTTGGATCACCTTTCTTGGGAATGGGAACAAACAATAATCTCTAGTCAGTCAGT